GTCAGTGTGATCTCCACACTCAGGCTCTCCTCTCACCATCACTCTTTGGTCAATCTGCCAAACCCTTTAAGAGCCAAAGAAAATATTTAACATCCCCACAAGCTCTTGCAGTGCTCCCACCACCCCACTGTGCTGTTCACTCACTTGCTCAGCCACCAAAGGTCAGCCAGCACCATCCTCCGGTGCCTTGGGGATCCTCTCCATCCTCGGGGTGTCTCCCCACAGCCACAGCACCCCCAGAGCCCCCAGGCAGCTCCCTGGGGTGCAGCACGGCCACACTGCTGCCACCCTTCAGCAGATCAGGAATTCATGCTGAGATAAGGGTGGGAGACACGGCCAGGGGCAAAGAGAGACCAGAGAGGGAGATGGGAGACCTGGAGAGCAACGAGGGAGGTGCAGAGGGCACAGAGGGCAAATATGGGAGAGAGAGGGAAAAGAGGCAGAGACACTGGAGCCAGCTGAGAGTGACACTGCGAGGGAGCAGAGAGCAGGGACAGGGGAGGGATGGCAAAGAAGCACAGAGAGAGGGCAGAGGGAGCAGGGACAGGAGAGCAAAGAGGAGCAGAGACGGGGGAATGAGGCAGCAGAGAGCAAAGAGACAGTCACAGGGAGCAAAGATGGGTGAAGGAGAGAATTCAGAGCTAACACACACACAGAGGGCACAGAGAGGGAGCTGAGAGGCAGAGAACAAGCAGAGCAGAGTCCATGGCATTCTGTTACCCACCTTTTGTCTTGAGGGAAAAGGAACCAGCTGCCCTCTGTCCCAGAACCAAAATCTCCTCTGCTCCTTCTGCCCTACATCCCAGCCCACCCCACGGCAAACCTGCCAGACCCACATCCAGCCACAGCCCGTGCCCTCAGCTCTGCTGTGCCCCTGCCTGGCACCCCAAAACTCCCTGTCCATCCCTCCCAGGGTCTCTTGGCAGCCTTGGTGTCCTCCAGGCCCTGCTGTTCCTCACCCCCATCACACAGGAGCCGTGCTTACGAAGGATTACAACACTTTTTATTCCCACGCAGCCGTTTCACAGAGTACAAACACAAGACAAGACACCAACACAGCCCCCCCAACACCCACCAGCACCCCAAGGCTGCTCCCCACTCTTTCACCAGCACCCCAATGCTGCCCTGTGCCCACAGACCCCAACCCAGCTCTGACCTTCAACCCCTGCACACCATGCAAACATAGCAGAGAATTTCATCCCTCCTTCCTCTGATTTTGTTTCTGCCCACCAGAAAGCACCTCTTTCCAATTATTGGCACCAGCTTGTCACCACCACAGCACAATGCCAAGATTTCCAGGCCCCCATGGATGAGTTTGACTCTCTGAACCAAACCTCAGCACCACCTCTGCTCCAGAGAGTCAGAGGGTGACACGGTCCCAAGGTGCCACAACACCCAGAGATGGCAATGCACTGCTCTGTGCCCCAACACCTACCTCTGCTTGAGTCTGTGAGCGCATTAGACCCTGGTGGCAGCTCCCAAGGACAGTGGAGGTGTAAGGGGACAGCACGTGCTCCACCCTGTCCCACACTAACACTGCTGTGGGCCACCTCACCACCCCACAAGGGAGAGCCTGGGGAAAAGCTGCAAAACCCCTCCGTGAGTCCACATCAACGATGGAAAGCTGTAAAAAAACCCCAAACCCCGGTCCCACATCGCTGCTGGCAAACATCAACATCCTCCTCTTCCTCCAGCCATCGCTGTGCCGGCTGCACGTCACCGCCGGCTCCGCGTCCCACCTCGCTCAGGTGACATCCCTCGGCCTCCTGGCAGCCTGGCC